CTCCCTCTCTCTCTCCCTCTCCCTCTCCCTTCCACTCCTTTCCCCATTTCCTCTCATTTCTTCTTTTACTCTTCCTCTTCCTTTCTTCTTCCTTTCCTTTCCCTTTCCTTTCCTCCTTCCTCTCCCCTCTTCTTTTCATTCTCTAGACTGCTTGCAGAGGAACAGCATCACTGTTCTGTGATTTAAGACAGTTTGGACTTTTTAGTCTCAGAAGTTTTACCCAAATTAAAAAAATCTTGGTACATTGTAGAGGTTGGCAAATCTGAATTTAAAAAAGGTGTAAAGGCCTCCAGAGTGGAGATAACATGCTCCTCTGTATGATTCACCGTTATGGCTGGTATAAAGTTTCACAATGTAGTGAACTATGATCTCGTTTTATTTTCTTTACCTAATAATTTATTTCCATTTTACATTATTAGGATATTTTTGTTTAATAGGGATATGTTTGCACACCTAATTTTTATGAGGCTTTTTTTATACTGCTTTAGCATCCTTTAAATGTAGGCCTCCTGAGGCCAATTTAATGCTGTGAATTACTGTTTGTCAATTATTGGGGATCTCGATTTATTTTTAATGTCTTCTCTTTTTATTTAGGTGTGTCTAGCAATGCTGTTTTATTTATTGCTATACCTTTTAAGTCGTTAAGAATAACTCAGAATGACTATGGCTCAAAAGGCAGATAAAAATGTATTGTGAAAACAAGCATGTTTGCTGGGCTCATACTCATTCATTTAAAATAGCTTTTGTAATACATAGTCTACAAAGTTATAGGCAAAATGTTTGGCAGAATAGTTGTAATATTTCTACAATTCTTTCTGCTTTGTCTACTTTCTTATATAGGTCAGATTTCAAACTTTTTGAGTGGGTGGGAACAGATTTTCTGATTTTCTGATACTACCTGAAATGGTTTGTATTTCTGCTTTGGTAGAAAATCTGTTTTAAGTACAGGAGTGGTCTTGAGACTAATCTCACTTATGCCACTTACTCCTGTGAATCAGGAGTAATTTCGCTACATCAGGGAAGTTACAGTCATTTGGTCCTAATGTAAATGAAATTGGAATCAAGCCTTAAGTCTCCCCAAGCAAGTGATGGCTCAAACATTTGTTTTACTTTTAAAATATTAATAATTAGACAGTTAACAGCTGATCTTAAAATGTATTTGCGTTTTTGCTGCTACCAGAATATTAAAACCCTGGTCTGGCTATTCTGAGGTATTGTAATGCCTGTTCCACCCGTTCCCTTTTAAATGGCAATGCTGCCAGGGTGCAACACAGTGATGAACTCCTCCATTAGCTCCTCCTGCCCTTAAATGACTTTCCTGCCTGTGGAACTATTCTAACTGTGCTAGTCTTAGTACTACACAATTAGTTTAGTGTAACAGTCATCAAAATGTACCGTGTACATTAACAATGAGTGCTGTTGATCAGCATAGATTTCTAGGAGCATGGTTTGTTATTGATTACTCTAATTATAAAGATTCAATATCTGGGTGTAAAGGACACTCCATTTAAATGATGGTGTTACCCGTAACAGCATCCCCAGTCATGATCTTTATGCTATAACTATAATGCTTCATATAGTTCAATGAAGAACTAACTTTGGGGATCCCACACCACTCCTGAACTTGGACAGGGCCTCTCTTGCATGCCTTTTCAAAGTCCTGTGGTGGGTCTGACTTCATTGACCTCTATTTCCACCCCATCTTTCAAAAAATTTACTTTTGATTTTTCTTTTACTTACTTTACATACTGTGGTGAATGGAGATAACTATGTATATGAATGTGGGGGGTTTTTTAATTGTCTATGATAGCTTATGCATTTTAGGAGAGTTCTGGTACTCATTTACTAAGATTTAATCAATTTGTTAATTGAATTTTCAATCCCTCCCACCACAAGCAAGTCAGCTCCAAAGAGCGCTTACTGTGCATTTGGGACATTTCTGTCATACTCTTCTCTTTGTTCATCTGTCGCCAGAGGTTCTTGCTCAGTAATGATGTTTTGAGGGAAATAGAAATTTTGTTGGTCTGGATTTATTAGTAAGGGAAAAAGTATAACATTTACACTTGAAAGAAACTGTAAGCTTTCATCTTTTCACTTAATAATTGAACAAAACACTAAAAGCAACTAAGGGTAAGCATTTCTTAGAATGCAATTATATTATTCACCGGGTTTAAAAATGTTTGCTATTTAAAAGAAATAAAGAAAAAAGTCTGTTTGTTGTGACTTTACAAAAAATCTAAAAAAAATTAAGTAACTAAATAAAACAATGGCATAAAAATATAGAAGGGAAAAGAAAAAAAAAAAAGAATTTAAAAAGCAGCTTCTCCGCACTAGACTAGCTAGGAGCTCCAGATGGCAGGAGCTACCTCGTCAAGACTGGGCTGTAATCACAACGGTAAAAGAGGAAATCTGAAATGTGCTTTCACGCATTTGCATGCAGCCATTATCTTCCAAACTATGGAAAGAAACAGTCTTGTTGCTGGCTGAGAAGCACCTCACACACCTCCTCTCTCTTGTTCTGAATGGTGTTTGTGTCAGTCTGCAGCTGTGTATGGTATTATGTCTTATAATCCTGCATCACTTCTATTCTGTCCAGTCATATCTAATGTAGAAAATTAGTTTCCAGTGAAAGTAATATGTAGTGCTTTTATGATATTTGTGTGCAATATCCCCTCTTCCATTGAGGATATTTGATGTAAAGGAAACAAACTCAGTTCCACAATAAAATACAAAAGTGGCAAAGTGGTGTTGACATGTTTCTTGTCTTTGTGTATGTACGTATTTTTAAGTTTTCCGTTTCCTTCAATCATGATTACCTACTATATGAGTTTTTTCTCAAAAGATCAATGACTATTTAAATGCTAGATAAGAGCCAATCTCTATTTAGAAACTGAAAAATAAATGCAGAAGATTACTTTTATCTCTTGTGGCCTAAAACATTACCATGATGTACCATGACGTGGCTTCTTTTTGTTGTTCTCATTTCTGTATCCTTCAGCAGCATGAGAAAACACCTCATTTTCAGTAAGTACACATTCAAGACACTGTGTCAGAGATGACACCCAATAGTTACATCAAACTGAGCCCACCCTGGTTTGGAAAAGAGGTCTTTTCCAAAACTGTTGCAGCTTAACAAGAATGCACAGCTTGACTCCGGTGGACATGGACCTTTTCTTACCACCGCTGCCCTGTAACCCTGATGAGAGGAAGCCTTTGGGGAAGGTGGGCTCCCAGTTTAGTTATTTACTTTATAAACATCAGACTTTTCCTCTGCTGCTGTTAAAGGGACGCTGTAAGGTCAGGCTTTCTGCCTTTGTAATTCTGCTTGCTGCTGCGACGCCTGCCGTGGTGAGGTGCAGCAGTCAACCCTGACAGTTTTTTAGCTTGGGGAGATGGTAATGATATGAAAGAAGGCAAAGGCTGAGGCAGCGAGAAGCAAGGGATGCTCGCTCCATGGAGAAGCAGCGGCCCTGCAGGATTTCCTTCACCCTCAGCCAGCAGTCTTTTTTTGTGGGCCCTTATCCATCTCTAGCCTCTAAGGTTTAATTTGTAACTTCTAATAATATGAGTAAGAAATACTGTGCTTGGATTGAATTGGGCTGACCATGGCCAAGTATGAAGACCAGATGAGGGGAGTCAATTGCTGCAAATCTTATCTCTCCAGTGTAACCCTGCATATATCTACGTCAAGGTTTTTTGAGCTGTTGTAGTAGAGTAGCCTGATGCTACTTAAAATATATTAAAAGGATTGTGCAAAGCAGACCAGGTCAGGTTTCAACCCC